ATATACTTTAATACAAATGACAACTAAGAGCAAACATTTTAAAAATTCTTTATTAATTTCCTTATAATCAATGTTTGATACTTGAAGCAAGAATAATGAAAAAAAAAATGCTGAGCAGACCTCAACCAGGCTCCTGGTTGGGTTTTGTCTCATTTCTCTGATTTTAATGTGGAACCGAGGTTCTGCGTTTTTTGTTGTTTTTTTTTTTTTCATATTGGCAAGGTGCAAGGAACACAAACGAGGGGGAAAACATTAAAAACCCACCACCCACACAAATACCCTCTTCAGCACAACCACGAAACAGAGTTTAAAAAAAGAGGTTTCTGATCATGATATTTACACAGCTTTCATTCATTTTTCTAGACCTCAGTTACAAACGTACATCTACCATTCAACCGAACATTTATTCAACCTACTCAGTCCCTTTGGATTACTTTTGGATACTACCCTAAGGTTCTGTGCAGACAGTGCTATAAAAAAATCTAGTGTGGCAGAGATTGTTTTAAACCACCATATTCTTCAGCTAACTGTTCAGTTTCTGAAGTCTCACTGACATTCAAGGCTGAGGAGTCAATGGTGTTAAATGTATTTTAAAAGATGTTTTGAACAACCTGTACCAAGATGGAAAATGTCAGCGGCTCACTGCTCCTAACGTGCCGGTGTAGAGTCGGTTGGACTGGCAGGAAATCAATCATCCAGCACTCATGGAGCAGGGTGTTAGTACAACTTATAGCACCTCAAAGTGGTTTTTCAGTCCAGACAACCTCTCARTTCCTCCTCTCATTCTAAAAACTCCTCACAGAACAGTCTTCCACTACACACTTCCAGGGTTTCCTCTATGGCACTTTCAGGTCTTTACAGTGTTGACAATTAGCAAAAGGCAAACAACAGACTGAACCATTACCCGTCTCAGCTTCCCACTGGGAAACAAATCTAAAACATCAAAAATATAGAGCTTTTTATTGGAGCAGATTAGAGATTTTGATGGTTTGTGGATTTGTAATAATTGTATTTATATGGGGACAATAGGGGAAAACAGAAATAACTAAAAAAGTGGAAGTGCTTAGAGGGATAAGCACAGTTGGAACAAGAAACAGGTTAAAATTAACAGGGGAGTGGCATCTCAGCTAGTTCGTTTCTTCCAGATCAGAGACGGGTCTTAAAACTTCAGAACCTCTTGGATAAACAAAAACACAGAACATTCAAAGTGACAGGAACCTAAAGGCCAAAGACTTGAAGATTAAATAATCACAGTCTTTGGCCTTTAAGGTCCATCRTGTACCATGACTGTAGTAAAATCCAGCTTTATCAGCAGATGGTCCAAAACGATATGTGATTAATGATGAAATTTGCTTTCCCATATGGAAGATWGGAGTTGGCAACTTAAGCAAACAGTGAAAAGAAAATACTAAAGACCACCATGTACAAAAAACACTGATATTGGAAGACTGCACGGGGAAAAAAACAGCTTTTCCGCAAAAACAAAAATCCTCAAATTGTTTTTTTTTCCCCTCATGTGCAGCAGATTTGGACATCAACCAAGCAGCCAGAGTCTGAGTCACTACAGCAGTGTTTACAGGAAGAGAAGGTTGGAGTTTCTCTCCTTATAACCAGGAACAGCCAATGAGATCACTGTTTTTTTTATATAATTGCAACGTCACGAGAAACAAGAAAAAATAAAAAAGTCAAAAATCAGTTTGTCCAGCTTCAATACAGACAGCAGGTTTTATRAGTTTAAATGTTTGGAATGTTTTTGTTAAGTTTGAATATTCATGGTCAATATTTGATGCTAAATTTAATGGGATAATTTTAGCACCTAGGTGATGAAGTACCCCTCCTTACATGAACAGTCTATAACATCAAGTTTTACAGTTTGCATTTTGAASAGTTTTATGGAGTGGAAGAAAACAAAATACTGTTAGAGAGGTAAACAAAATTTAGATTTGGCAACAGTTTCATTTGGGACACAAAACACTGACAACCTGCTTTAAAAACAGACATATCACAGGAAAGTTGGAATGGTTGGTTGATTTTTTATGGGTCGTTCTAAAATAAGAATTAAGACCTTTTCATCCGACTAGGCAAAAATAAGACCGCCACAGAATAAAAGGAATTAAGTCCTTTGTCACCAAATCACTAAAGAACTTTCTGCTAAATTTACCACATCCTTCTTATTCCACCTGTGTTAACTGAGGGTTGGGGGCTGGCTAAGAACAAAAGTTCATCTGGAATGTTGCTAGGGGTTGTTGTTCGGCAGGACTCAGTCCAAACACTGTCATTGAGATAGGCAGTGACTGTTCCCGCCCAATCCCCAGCCAATGGAACGTCCTGAATTGTAGCGGGTCGGGGCACGGGGCTCTTAAAGGGCAACTTTGGACATTTGCTCTTCAAGTTTGATGATTCGCTTCTCCTGACTGCTGATCAGGTCCTTGAGGGATCTGATTTCTTTCAAGATCTCCTCCATCTTCACTTCAGATTTCTGGAGAAGACAAGATGGGACTTTTTTAAGATATCATAGTCTGCAGTAAAACAAAATCTATCACATCTGGAATGAGGTCAAATATCAGGTCTCAAAACAGTGAAATGAAAACTCGAGCAAAAATGCAACCATAAATTTTGACTTGGTGTTAACTGTGATTAYAGAGGATTGCAGAAAAACATGCACACCACTGTGTTGTGGGTGAGCTGCAGCAGTAGACCCTTGTGTCTGTGGGTCACACAGTAGGATAAACACTTTTAAAGCTTGTCATGTACACAGCTACTTGTTATGATTCAAACTGGTTTCTGATGAGGGGTTTACTCTGAACTGTGCAGCTCTTTAAAAAGAAAAAAAAAAGCTAGACTAAAATAAAATCTAACATTCATCTCACATTCCAGAAAACATGGGAGAGGAAAAAAAAAAAGAAAAACACTTACGATTGCTGGAGTTGGGGAGGAAGACCTGTTGGCATGGCTCGAGGTATCTTTCTTCTTGGTGACCTTGCTGTCCAAAATGTTCTTCTTGACCACCTTGAATTCCCGGTTCTTGCCCGGGACGTAGCCGTTCTTCAGGGAAATCAGGATGGGGTCTCCGTTCTTGCCCTCAAACCAGTCCTCAGCCTCCAGGCTTGGGTCTGGTCCAGCGGTGTCCGGGTACAAGTCATCCTGGAACAGGTCCGACTGGTTGGGGGATGGACAGAAAAGGACAAAGTTTTTACCCAGAAAAATACATTGTCTAACTACATAGGAGAATAAAGAGGGTTCTTTCAGGATGTGGACTCACCTTTCTGGGTACAGTCATCACAATGGGCTCACACTTTCTTTCATGCAGTTTGTAGAACCTGATAATACAAAAATACTTCTGTAAAGTCCAGTGCATTGTTAAATAAACAGTTTCCTGTGAATATAAACTGATCACATGTTGCCTCCTGGTGGTGAGAACAGGAAAAATTCAGAGCTGGATGTAGTTAAAAATAATTCTGATGTCAGACATGCRGTTTAGTCCACTCATGTTAGCTTACCGTGCGATTTCACACTTGTTCACATCGAGGCCCCTCTTGGGCATGTAGCCCATTCCCCTCTGAGGCTCCTTGGTGACAAAGGTGTTGAGAAAGTGAACGTATGGAGCCTCCTCCGTGATTTCAAAGTARCGGATGCTGCTGTCACCCTGCCAGAAGACAAGAGCTGGGTTTTATTTACACTGTTTGAGTTTTTTAATATATATACTTACTTAAAGCTCACACACCTTYCCACAGAGGTAAACAATGTTGGTGTCAGGATCATAGAAGGGCAAAAGCACTCCATTGCTGGTGTCCATCTCATTAACAGTCATGGGGTCCTCCATGTTTTGCTGAATAAATAAATAAATTAGAGCTCTGTGTATGAAATGTTTAGTGAAAAAATACACAGGTTCTTTGTGTGTTTAAAACTGACTGTAACAGATAAAATAATACAGCAACCTGAAACGTAGGCTCAGTCGTCTGAACTCAGCGCTTTCGAAGCCACTCACCATGTCCCACAGAGCCAGCTGYCTCTCACTCATACGACTGAAACCAGTGGTCAGGATGTTGCCGTCAGAAAGAAAAATGGCCCTCATGGGTCGAGCTCCTTCATGCGCCTTCTCCTTCTCCTGTGGAGTCAACATCAGAAAAGCTTCAATACCTTTCAACTGTTCTGTGTTCATCTACGAGTCAATTTACAAAAAAAAAAAACACTTGGCACAAGTTAAACTGGCTTAAAATGACCTGTTTCCTGCTCCTCACCCACAACACAGCCATGTACATAAATAACCAGATTAAAAGGTTTAATTTAATCTGATTCTGTCTGTAATATGAGTGTAATAWATATAATTTAAGCATCGACACTGATGTGTACATGTGCTGTGTTTAAAATGAGTCTACACCAAGTTTGATAAAGTTTCATTTACTCAGCTTTAAATGCTCTTGAATCTTATTTGTTTTTGTGCTGAAGTACCGAGRAAAGGGAGAAAAGCAAAACATGAGTATTTGGTTGCAAAAGGAAAAATTGGAATGGTGAAATGTGTCAAAATCTTACAACATTAAATTCTTTAAGAACTCACAGCAACAATCGTCTCCTTGCGGGGGTCGATGACTCGGATGGACTTGTCCTTGCAGGAGGTGCAGATGAGGCTGCCGTTGCGGTTCCAGCTGACGTTGTAAATGACATCAGGGTGCATGTCCTCTAGATTGATCATAGCCTCGCCTGTGCCCACGTTCCAGACGATGATCTGGTTGTCACAACCTGGAGTTAGGCAGAATCGGCGTTAAGCTCYCTCAGTAGATTTAGTTTGTACATCTAGCAGTTAAAATGTTATCTTTAGCCAGAGATCTTACCTGCACTGAGGAGAACGTTGCGTGCAGTCGGATGCCACGTGATGATGCCCACGCGCTTAGAGTGGCCCTCCAGAACCACCACTGGCTCAGACATGGAAGTGACGAGGCCATTCTCAGGAATCTGCCATACCTACAAGGACAAACACATTAACTGTAAGCTGCTGTGTGACTGCAGACACCAGTCTGATAAAACACACCTGAAGGGGGCAGCAGCGACCAATAATACTCAGCTTGCATAGTGAGAAAATTTCAGATGTGCTCAAGAAAATAGTGAAAGCAACATATTATCCTATTCAGATTTTATTTAAAATTTTATGTAAATTCCAGAACGCAATCATTGAGTCACATTTTCAACTAAAGACATTTACTATTAAGCCCACCCATAACTTTAACTTGAAAATCTTGATTTTCTTTTTTAAAATTAGCTTAAACGAAGAGCATTCARATGTTCCAATAACCTGACATGGTTAAATTTATCATGAAACAATGTGTGCACATGATCTGAGTTTTAACAAAGCAAAGGTCTGTGGACATTAAACACATGAGCTGGGTGAAAAACTTTGAGGACAACATATTTCAAGTTCCACTTTCCATGTGTAACAACATCCGCTAAAACACACACACACACACACACACACACACACACACACACACACACACACACACACGTCTCCTTGACAACAAACTTTAAACATGAAACACATCTGAAAAGAAACAATCATGTAAACCATGAACGAACAGCTGCAGAAACAGAAATTGAGGTTTTATAAGCGACACAATTTTCAGGACATTAAACTGACAAAAACCATTCAACCAGGTTTATAGAGAGCCATCCTACATTTATAAACAGTTTCAATAATTCCATTAAAATTCTCTTAGAAAATTATTGGAAGTGGCATCTTCATATATAAATATTTATTTTACCAACAATGTATACCTGGTAAATGCGCTGTAATGAACAGAGGTAAGTAATGCTAACAGATTCCAACATCTACTTATTGCCGACTGCTGTTTAAAGTCTAAAACTTCTATTTATTTTGTCAGTAAGGACAGACTAAAACAAAGTCAACTGTACAAACAGGAATGCAAAAATGTCTTTCTTAAAATAAACAAAAGCTATTCCTGCTAACTCATCTAAATATTAAATGCTGTAAAAACAGAAACAATGGGGTTCTCTCTTTATGGCTTACACTTCTGTAAAACATAACACAGAATTAATTGAGCTCAACCTTAAACAGGACATTGGCCTTCCAGGTAGGGAAGTGATGAAAACCAATCTGAGCCCAAATAAGGACATACGTAGGAAAGTATTAAAAAAAAGTCTCAGAGAAGTCAGTGACCTCAGCTCAACAAACAGCTAAACCATTCCCKAGCTCTGGTTCCTGCAACACATATTTGAGCCTAATCTAATCCAGAGGGTGAGGCCTGCCACCAATCCTGGGGTTACAACAGCTTGGACTGCTGCAATAAAGGCAGGAAGTCTCATCACTTTATAGTTTAATGCTGCTGCCGTTTTCTCTCTGTTGTAACGTATAATTTATAGTTTGAGAAGTCAACCTTACCATCACTGTGCAGTCCTCAGAGCCGCTGGCAATGACCTGATCATTGTGGGGGCACCAGTCAATGTCTAACACAGGGCCTGTGTGACCACATACTGTTGGGTAGGATTTGTCAATGCGTCCCGTCTGTAAAGACAAACAGAGTAATAAGATTAGTCTGTGTTTTGAAACAGGACAATAGGACATCTTAAACACCACCTACATTTAAATAAATACAAAAGAGCCATCTCACAAACTTAGATACTTCAAACATTAAAGATGTGAGTAAGGAAGCACAAAGGGAACCAATTCATTTTCAATGTTATCAAGTTCCACAAACTAAAAAAAAAGCACAACACATTTTCACTCAGATTACTTAGTAAATTATCTAATGCAGTGCATTTAAATTATGAGATGCCTTAAGCACAAACATGCAAAATAGTTTAATTTATGTTATTAAACATTGTTTGAAGACAAGTAAAAATAGAACTAATACCCAAACACAGTTTATCCCATCGCTTAGACAGAAATATGAAAAAAGTGTTCAATTGTGTTCTTCCTCTTTTCACAATACTGTATTTCTGTTGCTTGGAAAATATTTTGTTAAAATTCCTGTAATCTAAAATGGATTTAGCTCTACAAGAATATATAAACAAAGAATGTTAATTTTATACATATTAAAAATAAAGCATGTATGAAAATACCCTTGAGCTGCAACTAYAAAAAGGTCTTTATTAGTTTTATTGCTTTACTGTAATGGAAGYGTGTCTGTGGCTGAGTTTGTGTGCAAGAACAGCAAATAGTCAAACTTTGACATCTAGAGAAGTAAAGACAGAAGTCTGGATCAGTTCCCTTTTTCCACAGTTCACTTGGTTTTTATGCGTTATGACAGAACACTGATCTAAACAATCTAAACTATACTGCAGTCAAAAGATGGCAGTACAGGTGATTACTCATTTTAAAAGAAATGAAGRAGTTCAGATAGATTTCATTCTTCTGATTTAAAATTTTCCCATCAACCTTTTCTATGACAACCTGCCAAAACCTGCTTGTGATAATATGATTTCTGATTATTAACAACCACCTAGACCCTAATCAGACCAGCTGTTGTAATTAAATAGTCATGCTCTCTGTGTTTTATATGGTTGTGCATTTTAAGCCTTCATTAAAAATCRATAGTGCTTAAGAGGCTCAATACAGTATCAGAAAACAAAACAATGCAATATTTCTTAAACCCCTACTCTCTACCACAACCATCAGACTAAACATTTATTTTTGATGTGTATGCACAAAAAGTATCTCAAACCATAAGTTTATATCTGAACCCYATGACTGTGGAAACATGCTCTCAATAAAGGATAAAATGATTTAGTGAACYTGTGCTGTGTGTTTAAAACAAACACTTGTCTTGAGTCCAAGTACCAGATGAAGTCACTCACTGTAGCAACCCTCTGCCTGACGGTCTCTAATACAAAAAACAGCTCCACACTACCTGCATCTTCTCCAACATAAATGTCTTTGTTCATATGCTTCAGGTCATTTGATTTTATTAGGTTTTCAAACAAAATATTCCCATATTAGATTTTCCGTGATAGCATTCAACAAAAATGTATGAGTACCCGAAATACCCAAAAACATGCCCAACACCTTTATGACCATCAGTGAGAACTAAAGATGAGCAACATTGTGACTTTTGGGTTGGTATTTGACTGTTCGTTCCTACGTATTACTTCACATTAAAGGCAATGGAAAGCTGAATAAGTATATAGAGGACTTGAAATGAACAGTCACACTTTTACAACTGATAGATGCAAGAAAATAAAAATCTTTGAACATATTAGGAATTAAATAACTTTGCCATGTTTTTTTCTCTCCTTTTTTTTATTGTCAACAAAACATCCAGTAATATCAATACAGTAGGGAGCAGTACAAGCTGGCTCCAGTAAATTTTAAACATTGCAGTCCTGAAATTWTAGTTAGTCTGGTTGTTTTCTATAACCTTCCTCTTTGACCTGCTTTAAGGTAACACTTTAAAGAACCCGCTTTATGTAACACACTAGCTATGAACGAGAACTGGAACTACTTGTAGAGATTAGGCCTATCATTTGGTTAAATGAATGAACTAACAAGACAAAAAATGGATTATCAGGATCTAACTACACAGAAATGTGGCAGAGTCATACTTGGAATGCCACGTACAAATCTAAAGAGATCAAAGTTTACAGTATGTGAAAATGGCCTCTGCACTTGAGGACATGCAGTCTGGAAGAAAAAAAAATAGAATCTCTTGGTGCAAATTCATTGAACACACCCTGAAACCTGCATTGATCCTGCAYAAAAAGCACACTTATCGAATGATCTATTCTGAGCCACCATATAGCAGTAACACCAGCATAATGAGATATGTGACCTTATCAGATTCCAACTACAATTTCTCTTTCATTTTAGGATGTATCCACATCTAATTCACATACAAATAAAAGTATTTTACAGCTTAAGCCAAGATATTCCTGTATTTGATTTACAAAGGGCAGCAGGAACAGGATGTAAAGCAGGAAGGAAATGATCTGATGACGAGGTGTTCGCAACAGAAACTGCATAAACAAGTCTGAAAAATATATTCTGGTCAGAGACAACCAATTAAAAACAAAACAAAACAAGTATTTAGCAATTACCACACTATTTGAACACTATTAAGAGTGCAAATCGTGTCTGGTCCCGTTTGCAACTTGCTCACCCACAAAAGAAAAAGCAAACATCAATGAGTARTATTAATGCCTAACCAGTCTTGACATGTAGAGCTGCTGTTTCAACATCAATTTGCGCTGAACACATTCACAAATTGTCATTTCAAGATCTCTACAGATACAGGCAAAAATACTGACCTCAAATTATTAAGGTTTAAACCTTCAATTCTTCACCATTTTAGAACTTTGAACAAGCAGATTGTGTCATAAACAGAATTTTAACTGTTATGAATAATGACCAGCTGAATAAAACTTGTTKGAAATGACCTACGCTGCTTTTTAATTACTTTCAGAGGATCGCCTCAGAGCAGAGGAGTTCAACCGAAGAGCCAGCCTCCACCCTTCACATTCCATGTCTTGGCCTAAGGCAGCTATGCTTTGAGTATGACTAATAAGAGCCAGTGGGTGTTAAAAACACCACCCTTTAATGTGGTAATAGCATTTGTGTCTGATTTACACAACAGATTTTAGGCCCTGTTTACACGTAAACAATCTCTAGAAAAGTTAGCATTTTTTTCAAAGTTAATTGTGGCAAATCAACACAAAAAGTAAATAAATAAAAACATGTTTACATGGATACCACTGTGCTCATTAAATCTGTTTACATGCCAGGCAGGGTTGCTAGATAGAAAAATGACAAAATATTGTACTGTTGCTTTAAAATTATAATATTTTGACCCAAACTTTACATACTACAAGAGGGTGCACTTTCTGGCACGGGGGAGTTTGTAAGATGAGCTGTGTGTTTTGATTGACCAACATGTGAACAGAAAAAAGGAGAGGGCCTTGAACCTAGAACTCTTTTATAAAAATGGTAATTATCATATCTGGCAAAACTAATACCAGGTGGTTTTTGGCTTTCAGTAAGATGTGCTGCAGACAGTCCAGTCTCAAACATGAAATTAGTTAAATTCAAAACGGTGACTACAGAAATCTTTGTTTGGACCAAGGATACGGTTGTTTATTGCATACATGTTGCCATTGTTATTGGTGTTCATCTACTTGAACAATCGCAGAAAAACTACTGACTGGAGCTGTCAGTAACATCATTGGACATTGCCTCTAACCTCAAACCATTTACTAACTGAAAGGGTCACAATACCAAAACTTGTCCTCCTGAAAAGGTCAACATGTCAAAATCTGTCATTTAAGCTCCTCTATTGTGGAASCAACTTCCAGTTTCTGTCCATGAGGCTGACACTCTGTCTACTTTTAARATTAGACTGAAAACTTTCCTCTTTGATAAATCATATAATTAGACTTAGGGTTTCCTGAATTATTCTTCCTTTCTGCTGCTATAGATTTAGACTGCTGGAGCACAAACTGCACATTTCCTCACTCTGCTCTYGTCTTTAGTCTCTCTTCTCTACATGTTTATTGCAATTATTTCTATCAATAACATGTTTTTTTGTATCTCTCCTCCAGAAGAAGGTGCACCTGGACCAGTCTTGGACCAGTTCTTCTGTGTTTACCTGTGTCTCTTTCCTGTCCCCCAACCAGCCAGTCGAGGCAGATGGCCGCCTGTCCTGAGCCTGGTTCTGCTGGAGGTTTTTTCCTGATTAGCAGGGTTTTTCCTCTCCACCGTTTGCTCAGGATGGGAGACTGTGATGAAGTGAATCAACACAATCTGCTGGCTTCTTCTTTAGATTGTTAGTTTTTATGTACAGTGCCCTGAGACAACGTATGTTGTGACTTGGCGCTATGTAAATAAACTGAATTTAATATATTAAGTCATGTTATTCAAGGACAAAAAGACTCACATTATTCCAAGAGACAAGTCAGACATAATCAGGTTCATAACCAAGATAAAGAAATTTTAATAATTTAAAAAAACTATTATTTGTACAAACTCAAAACACCTTTAGAAAAAAAAGGATGTAATGTTTGATTCATCAGAAGGTAGTGTCCCGACAATACTGGATAGAAGCCATTTCCAGCAGAACTTCCCAGTAAATTAGCGCACTTTTGAAGGGGTAATAGTTTTAATGGAAGGGACATTTACAGTTTAAAAAGATCCAAGACATACTAAAATAAAAAGCTTAAAAAAAAAGAGTACAGTGGAAATAAACACTGAAAAATTAAAAACTAAAATGAATTTTAAC